AGATGATAAACACAGTAACCTGCACAAGGAAGAATATGTGATGTGAGTAGATGGAGTAGAAAATGCATTGATGTAAGGAAATCTATAAACATGAGAATGAAATAATATAGTCGAGAGTTGTTGGAAGGAATGAAAGAGAAACACAAGTGATTTAAATGTGGAAAGTTTCGAATTATAACTTAGATGGAGAGTAGGTATTGACAACACAAAAGAACGGCCCAATTCTGAATAGTACTTGAACTTCCAGATCCAGATGGGCCCGAAGCTACTACCACTGCTGTTGAGGTTGTCCTGTTAGCTGTTACGGAGGTGGCCCACACAATGGGATCAGACCACTGTGATCCACAGATTGTAAATTTAACACTGGCTCGTTTTCAAAAGGATGGCCATCCCTTAGTCAGCAAGCTCCACTGAAACCTATTCAGCTCTGAGTGACATGAAGGCCTCTACTATGCACTCAAGGTGCCCAGGCCAGGAACTGGACCCGTGTCTCACACCTGGATGGTAAAGGGTCTACCTTAGAACCTACTATCACCTGGGTTTGTAAGTTATATAAGCCTATCAGTCAGTCTAGCTTTCTTCTGTTGTCATCTTTAGGGGCTGTTAGGTCAGTTCCAACTCAGAGTGACCTTGGTTGAACAAAGCTAAACCCTGCCCAGTCCTCTGCATCATCCGCACAATTGTTTCTATGCTTGGGCCTATTGTAGCCCCTGGGTCAATCTACGCCACCAAGGAGGGGTTTCCTCTTTCTCACTGCCCTGCTACTTCACCATGCATGAAGTCCTTTTCCTAGGACTGGTCTTTGCTGATAACCTGGCCAAAGTACATGAGATGAAGTCTTGCTGTCCTCCCTACTAAGGAGCCTTCTGGCTGTACTTCTTCCAAGACGGATTTGTTTGCTCTTCTTTCAGCCCATGGTCCTTTCAACATTCTTTGCCAGCACCATAATTCAAATGCATCGGCTCTTCTTCTGTCTTCCTCAATGTCTAACTTTCACATGAATAAGAGGTGACTGAAAATACCATGGCCTGGGTCAGGCACATCTTAATTCTCAAAGTAACATCCTTGCTTTTCAACACTTTGAATAAGTCTTTGCACAGCAGATTGACCCAACACAACGCATCATTTGATCTCTTGGCTGCTGCTTCCATGAGCACATTTAAATTGGTTTCCATGAACACAGAAGATATGGGTACTTCAGCAAAGTGTGGTGAAGAAATTAGATGGTGTACAGCTATCAGAAAGAATAGCACCTGGGATCTCAGAGGCTTGTTTTCAAACAAGCAGCCTTTCAGGGAGACATCCACATGAAAGCATCACACCAACTTTTCCTTAATTCAAGGACTGCAATTGCTACACAGTATATAGTCAAGTATACGCCAGCCCGACTATCAGCTGAGGCACCTAGTTTTACACAAAAACTCAATTGAAAATGTGCTCAGACACTCAGTTTACACACGAGTATGCACGGTAATCCAAATCTGAAGGAGGGAATGTTATCAGAGCTTAAACTCTGAGATTCTGGTTTGCAGATGGCTATGCAATAAGCCTCTGGTGATTTCCCTCTAACCATACTTTAAGGGTGGCTACCGCATGGAGAGTATTACAGAGATGATTATAGTAGATTAAAATGATAAATCTGACTTGAATGGCTAAAATTTTGTCTTTTGATTTCCCTTTTGATACACTTAGAACGTGATCTGGATTTTTTTCCCTTCAAATTGGAGTTTACCTCTGTTGTATTCTGTTGTATTTTGCTGGTAACCTTCTTGACCCTCTGTTTTGTGTTTTGCTGTTTCCCACTACACGAAACCCAGGATGGGTGACTCCGTAGAGGCAATAACTAGAATAAGGGCTCCTGGAGGGTCCAGCGAGTACAGCAAGGAAGGGGGGAAGGGGTCATGAGCAGTACATATCAAGGACTACAAGAAGGAAAAAAATGGTTTGAAACTGATTGTGGTACAGATTATACAATACTGATTGATATGACTGAACTATTGAATGGTATGATGCCTGGATGATGTCCTAATAAAATGGTTTGAAAAAAAAATTGGTTTCCTTCATTAAAAGTAAAAGAATTCAAATTCACTCTTTTAGAAAAAAATCACAATGCTCATTGTAGTAGCCCAATTCTAGTTTCTTCCTTCATTACATATCCATCAATACGAGAAAGATAAGCAACTCCCCTTTACTATAAAAGATGTGTGCTACAAACTATAATTTATAGGATTAACTAAAAAGTTATGCTATAAAAATCAACTAATCTGAGAGTCCCTTAGGGTTCTCTTCAACCAAACATACCAATGATGATATAACAAAATCAAAATGCACACCCTCACCCTCACCCCCTTAAAAAAAAAAAGAAATCTGGTGCAAGATAATCAAAACACAAGGGGGTAAAAAAAAAAAAAAGATAAGAGCCACCATTAGAATATTGTAATATCAGCTAGGAAAAGAGGTTTCGGCTCCCTCACCAAAAACAAAACTCCCAAGGGAACAGGATTTAACTAATTAGGAAGGAAGTGATTACGACTGGGGCTGCTAATTGTCTACTGGGCATGTAACTGTAGCTGTGCCCGCGAGGGCCCCGGCAGTGGCATTCCTGTCAACTACACGGTCATCAGTTGTCTGTATTCACATCTTTCTCTAGGAAACTAAACGTCAAAGGAGGCATGGTTTTCGGGGCTAGCTATAAGTTCCTGTGAGGAAATAATTCAATCTTTTATTTAGAAACAATGATTTTTTTTCTCCAATCAGTTTTAACACATATAGTCTGGAACACGATGTTTCTCTCAATATCACGCTTCCTATCTGCAGAGGCCAGATGTTAATCTATGGGAACACATAAGCGGTGAGTCAGACGACCAGCGGTATACAGTCAGAGAACAAGAGGTGGGGGTGGGGATCGGAGTGAAGGGTAAAATGAAGCTGGTGACACAGTTAGAGCTCATTGGAGGACAGGACTGCTGGGGGTCGTTTTAGAAGCCAAAGCTCACGTGCGGCGACAGGATTTTTCTCCCTGGGTATTTCCTCCCCTATGAGCTAAAGAATCATTCGAGAAAGACAGAAAAAGTATTGCAAAGCTGAACTAAGAATTCTTTGGTGGGAACTTGGTATTTCATCTTTATTAAAAGATAAAAACCACATACATCTACAACTACACATGGATTCAAATTCTGGTTTTGACACCATGGTGGAGATTGGCAACTACACATTTTATTATTTTTCCCTGGAATAAAAGAAAATAGCCCTGCCTGTAGGCCATGCTAGGGACAGGTAAGGACAGCCTGAATCTCCCATCATCCTTTGCCATAAAATGCTGTTTAAGCCAATGGCGTATGTTTAATAGTGATGTGTACAAATGATGGGATCGTGAAGATATGCTATGACTGCTTTCATTACTGTGATCTGGCAGGAAAATGGCCATGACTGGACGTATTGGGCTGAGGCTGCCAGTCACCGTGGTAATGCAAGGACAGCGCCCTGCTGGGCTCTGGGAGAGAAATAAGCTATCTTACTTAAGTTATTGTACTTTGAAATCTCTACGAAATAGAAACCTAGTCTGTTTCCTAGCTAATACAGTCACCAACTTTTTGCAACTTGGAGTAAGTTATTTAATCTCTCTAAACCTCAGCTTCCTTATCTGTAAAATGGAATTATGACGCTTTTTACAAATGCATTTTTAATAAGACACCAAAGGGAATACCATATTTCTATATAAATAATATGCATGTTACAAAATTTTTCACACACACATATACACTTCTCATGTGTCAATTTCCTTGCACACCAAATGAGCTGTACGTAGGTGCACACTATTATGAGGGTGCATGCTATGTGAAAAAGCAGTACAGTAAATTCGGCGATCTAACATACCCAATTCAGCACCTGGCACAGTAAATTGCTCACTTTAGGGTAAATTATACTGGAAGAGATAAAGGATTACTTAAGAAGGAACATGTGAAACCCACATAAGATGTACCCAAGATATAGGCCCTAGTGTTCAGCAAATCTTGAAGTTACAGACGTTCAACGAGTACATTCTGTGTCTCAGCAATACCAGATCAAAAATTAAAATTAAAAAAAAACAGCTACTCGGACACCCAGATAACAGGACTACCCTGACTCCACAGGCTTCCCCCGGGCACTTAGTGGTTTACACATCAGGAGATGCAAACACAACCCAGGAGGATTGCATCCCCAGCTGCGCCCTACTTCAGGGAGGCATCATCTGGTCCACAGAAACACTGGTCTCTACCTCTTCTTAGGGTCTGAGGGAAAATTCTGGGGAGTATCAGGCAGAATACTAACCCACTGAGCCCTGGTGGCACAGTGGGTTACACTACAGGCTGCTAACTACACAAGGCCAGCAGTTCAAACCCACCAGCCACTCCACAGGAGAAAAATGAGGCTCTCTGCTTCTGTAGAGTTACAGCCTCAGAAACACACAGGGCAGTTCCACCCGGTCCTTAGGGTCACGACTCGAAGGCAGTGAGTGAGTGTTTGCTATGGTGGTTGGTTTTTGCTTGGGGTTTTCTTTCTTTTCTTTTCTTTTGCACTATCATGCAGACGGAGTCCCTGAATGGTCCCGTTAAAGCCCTTGGTGGCTCAGTGAGAGTTTGGAGGTTTGAGTCCACCCCAATGTGCCTTGAAAGAGAGGCCCAGCAACATGGTCTGAAAAAAAAGCAGCCACGAAAAACCACTATGATGCGCGGCTCTACTCCGACACACGTGGGACCCCCAGGAGGTGGCTTCCAACATGATGTCTGGTGGATTTGTCACACAGAATCCAGGCCTCTTAAGCCTCAGGAACCATATCTACCTGGAAGCAAATATAAGAAATAGGCAGAAACACCAACATAGGGAGAAAAAACTACGGACAGGCCCTGGTGTCAAGAGCCCCTGGCTTGACAGCAACAGCAACAAGCCATTTCACTAAGGAAGCAATAAACAACTCAGGGCCTTTTTTTCTTGCTTCACTTCCCTGAATTGTTACTTACAGGTTCCCGGCCATCCATGGCCTCCATCCAGAGCCGCCGGTCCTCCTCCGACAATGCCTGCATGGTGATAACCCCTGGCCTGTGGAGAGAGAAGGAGCAGGACGTGAACCCGATGCCACGGGATCCAGAGAGGCCCAGTGAGGTGAACCGTCCCCCGGACAGACAGACAGACAGGCTTTCTGGGTTAACAGCACAGAGAGAAGCACAAGGTGGCTTCTCCAAGCCATGCTCACCCGACTCCCACCCCCACCTGGACCCAGTCCTCTTCCCTGGCCAGAAGGAGTGATTCCTTTAGACCCTGCTCATTCCTCGACGTCTTACTCACGTTCATTCCCCAAAGCGCTTAGCAGGGTGCCCCACTCACAGGAAGATGCAGTAAGGATGTGTGAAGTGAATGGAATTGTTGAACTCAAGATAAAAAGAGGGCTTTCCAACATGGGCTAGGTGGCGGCGGCAGCACCCTGGGAATGTACGAACTGCCGCAGAATTGCTCCCTTAGAAATAGCTCCTGTCACATTAGGGGAGTCTCACCTCAATGCCACAGAGAAAAGCTCCCAAACTGGAGGAACCCCTGGCTCCTACTATCTAGTTCAAAGCTTCCAAACTGCTTTTGACTGGGAGTTTTGTGTAAGTACTTGGCTTTGTAATTAGGCAGACAGACAGAGTGGAGAGAGGACATGGTGGGGGGGGGGCGGAGGGGTAGAAAAAGAAAAAGGGGAAGGAGATAGGGCTGATGAGTTCAAACAAACCTCCAACCCAGTGTGTGTGCCCCAGGGATCTGCATGCACATGTGTGCATATCTGCTATATGCATTTTTAAATGAGTATGTATTTAGCATGTCAGGTGATAAGTGCTTTACACACATTAACTCCTTTCACCTTCTGACGGGATTCTGCTCGCTGCTTAAAACGGAGTGCACGCCCTGCAGAAAGCACACCTAGAGTATCACACCTGTGCCAGGTTCCTAGCACAGATGGCCGGCCCTCCGCAGGAGACAGAGACCACATGGCCTCTATGCTCATTAAAGCAGGAGCTCTTCCCTTAGCGTCCAGAGCTGGTCCCCAAAGCCATAAACCACCTCCCCCAAGTCCTACCCATCCCTGCACTTTTCCTGTAGAAACTATGCAAACAGCCTGTCTGATTTTCAAAGACAACTGCAGCCCTCCGTAAGGTTAAGGACTGCCAACTTAAACTCATATCCTTAAAACCTGAGAAAGCCATAAAGGTAGAAAGGGGTCCACTGAGCCAGAGCTAACATCCAATTACCCACTGAGCCCCAGTACCGTTAATGATCACAGAGCAAAATACAGAGATTGACACTCATTAATACATGAGTGGCAAAAAAAAAGCATGAGCAGCACAACCCTGGGCTCCCCCACACCCACACCTGTTAATGCCAATCCCTGATAATCCATCACTACTCCCGGCTGATTTCCAGTTCTGAGTATACCAGACGTCTTTATGCTACTTGTAGGTATGGGAGGAGGGCCGTGGACGAGGGCAGCAGACTGTTACACCGTTATCACACGGGGTGATACCAACCCCGGGAAGTCACGGCTTGGACCACTCAGTCAGCCTTTCTGAACTTAGTGTTCTTACAGGCAAAATGAGAGATGAGAGGACACTTTGTTCTGGAGCGCGCGCGCGCGCGCGCGTGTGTGTGTGTGTGTGTGTGTGTGTGTGTGTGTGTTTGTGTTCTGGAGCGTGTGTGTGTGGGGGGGGGGGACAATTCAGTGGACTGAGGCTGAGATAGATAACAGGACAGGCTGTTATTCCTGTACAGAACACAGAACCCCAGCACAACGACGATGCAGAACAGACACTCACACTCTCTCCAGAAGCCCCTGGCAGGGTTCTCTCTCCTCTTCTCGGACATTCTCCCTCTCAGACCCAAGGGTGCTTCTGTGACCATCTGCGGTGCAGTGTGCCTCACTCACTGGGTGTCCCCAGGCTCTGTGCTGGCAGCTGCGGCTCCACAGAGCCGACGCATTGACCCAGGGGGCACAGTGTATTGAATCTGCCATTCCACCTTCCGAAAAGCCTAGCACAAGACGTCCAGTGGATCTTCGAGGGGTGCCCAAGTGCTGTGCCTGGCACCCCTGCTTGAACCCCAGGCATTCCTTCATACGGAGACCCAACCCTCCTACTGGATCTGAACCTGGGACTCGACCTGAGGACTTAGATTGTAATCGACTGTCCAAGCCATCTGACGTACGTTAGGTCTCAGGCCCACTACCGCGGCTGCCCACTCCGTTCCCGCCCTTTCCTTCCTGCTCCCCAGGTGCTAGAGAGAGCAAAGAGACACCCTCCTTGACCCTGGGGTCAAATACCAACATGCTTCCAGTTCACTTCCTGCTAGGTGTTCGCCAGCAAAGAAGAGACCACAACAGTGTAGAGCACACCACGCCCCAGGGACTGGCAGATGCCATGGCAACTTCACGGTGCCCGGTGTGACATTTCCAACCACAAGCTCAGCGTGCAGGCTCATGGCAGCGTGGAGGCTGGGAGGTCTGAGTTGCTTGGCCTTGGCAGCCAGAAAAGCCGACAGGTTTGGTTTGTTTCACAAAGAAATATCAAAATGCAAGTAATTTTCCACATGTGGCTTGCTTCTTCTTGCTCTTCTATTTTTTATGTGTCATGGGGGTGAGGTGGTTGAGCAGCAAGGAAATAAAAAAAGAAAACTCAATAGATTGGAGTTAGCATAATTAGTTCTAATCATATCACTACCCAAATGACATCATTCTCTCTCAGCCTCTTGCAGGTGCACGAAGGTCCTAAGAAGGACTGGCTTTCCCATACACCAGACAGCACGGATTCACTGCCGGGTGTCTTCTCTTTCTCACAATTAAAACCACGAGGACACAAATCTCACTTGTGTTTGAATCGCCTGGAGCCAAAGTAAAAGGGCTTACTTACTTCACTTGGGAATCAAAAAAATAAATTTCCAACTATATCCACTCCCCTAGGAGAAAACCGGGCTTTCGACGCCCATCAAGTCTGACCGTCTCAGAAACTTACAGGGGCAGTTCTGCTCTGTCCTGCAGGGTTTCTAGGAGTCCACTTGGACTTGACTCAATGGCAGTGAGTTGGTGCTTGGTTCATTTAACCCCCTAACACCTCCACCCACTGCCAGTGCAACACAATATGGTACAGACAATACTTTTAATGGCAGTCTCCGACTAGCAGCACCGGTACTCCCTGCAGAAAGGAGAGCAGGGCGAAGGTCAATTGGCAAGAGAGCAGCACTGGAAAAATACAATTGGAAAACCACTTTGGCAGGATGTACTAACACTAACCATGCAACTGCTCATGACCTTGTAATTCTACCTCTAAGTATACGAGTACACGAGCAAGAGAACTGAATGGACACGTATACCAGGAAACAGACAAAAATGCTCACACAGTATTATCTGTAATTGCCAAGCCAAGCCAAAGCCCAAACCCACTGCTAGCAATTCCATTCCAATTCATGCAACCCTATAGGGCAGACGACTCTACCTCATAGGGTTCATAGGGCTTTAATCTTTATGAACTACCACTTGTCTGAAATACTGATAAAGATCCCAGATGTGGTAGTTACCTAATTTCATGTCAACTTGAAGATGTGTGTGTGGAGAGGAGTGGAGTCTAGCCTGTCAAACAGGTCACAGCCTGATGCTACCTCCTTCTCATAAGGAGGGTCCTGGGAACATCCCCTCTTTCTCTGTCTTCGCCTCCCTGATGGTGACCTGCTCTGGGACCTATGATGGCCCTATAGTGCTTCCACTGGCATTGGAGCTACACTCTGCACCCACTGGCCTGTGTTCTTCCTGCATCCTGAATCATTACACGTGGCTGTGTAAGTCTCAAAAGGGACTTAATGACTAGCATCGGACTCATGGACTTGGTCTGGAATGTCTGCTTGCTTTACAATTACTTCTTGATATAAAGCTATTTCTTACACATTTATGAGTGTCACTGAATTTGTTTCTCTAGTCAAACCAGCCTCACATAATAGACAAGAACCTCCACCATGGATTAAACCTCAGCACAAAGATATCACACAAAAACAACCATCACAACGGGGCCAATAAGCTGCATTGGGATAAAGAGAGAAATCACAGACATTATCAAGGATTTCATTTGACTTGAATCCACAATCAGCACCCAGTCAAGAAAAGGAAGGATGCACTTGCACTGAGAAAATCTGAAGCAAATGACCTCTTCAAAATCTTCAGAGTACAGCCAGGATACTCCTTAGAAGCCAGGAAGCTAAGACTTTATCTCACATACTCTGAACATATTATCAAGAGGGCAGCATGCTTGACAGAGGGTCAGCAAAAAGACTTTCAACAAGATGGACTGACAGAATAGCTACAAAAACTGAACACAAGCAGAGGAACACCTGTGAGGCTGGGGCAGGGCTGGCAAGTGCTTTGTTCTGTCGTGCACAGGGTCCCTATATGGGGTAACCATCTTGAAGACACTCTACAGCAACAATCTTTTTTTTTAATCATTTTATCATACAACTCACCACAATCCATATATCCATCCATTGTGTCAATCATATTTGTACACTTGTGGCCATCATCATTCTCAAAATATTTTCTTTCTACTTGAGCCCTTGGTGTCAGCTCATTTTTCACCCTCCCTTCCTCCTCCCCCTCCCTCATGAACCCTTGATCATTTATAAATTATTATTATTATTTCATGTCTTACAATGACCGATGCTTCCCTTCGCCCACTTTTCTGCTGTCCGTGCCCCAGGGAGGGGGTTAGAGGTAGATCATTGTGATCACTTCCCCCCTTCTCCCCAACCTTTCCCTTCCCCTCCTGGCATTGCTACTCTCAATATGGATCCTAAGGGGGTTATCTGTCCTGGATTCCCTGTGTCGTGAGCTCTTATCTGTACCAGTGTACATGCTCTGGTCTAGCCGGATTTGTAAGGTAGAATTGGGGTCATGATAGTGGGGAGGGGGGTACCGAACATTAAAGAACCAGAGGAAAGTTGTGTGTTTCATCGGTGCTGCACTGCACCCTGACTGGCTCGTCTCCTAACCACAATCTTTACGGAGCAGAACGCCACAGCTTTCTCCATCA